GGGAGTCCTTTGGACTCCCCAGGGTATATTTCATTTCATTACTCTCTGCAAATTTTTCAAATTATTTTTCAAATTTGATATGGGTTTCATAGACAGTCATCCATAGATTCAGAAACGAACTTTTAAAGTTTGGATTTGCTTTTAAGGAAAAAAAATCTAAAAATGTTTGGCCTTGCCCGTTTGTGTCAGAAAAATACCTTGCCCGGATATTCTAAGATATGGTAAAGGATCCTTGCTTGGTACTGGCGTGAAATTAAATCATAATAGAGTGATTCACGCTGCTAGGCATACATGATGAATACACTGATACAATAATAAATATGCGATGTTCATGCAATTCCCGCTGCTTCTAGAAGTGAAAATTCTGCGGTTGTGATGTGGACTCATAATATTTCCATCATTTCTGACGCACACTAGTTTCACTGGACTTGAACTGGAGAAAGATGATGGTGTAAATCATGATCTGACGAATGATCTACAGAGAAAAGTAAATATCATAGTATCATATATATCACTTATATAATAACTATCATCAATAAACACTTCATGCATGCACAACATCGCACTCACATCATAGTAAACAGGATATCCAAGGCGAACAAAGCCGGATCCAGTGAGTATGGCTCCATCCGACTGAAGAATCTTCTTCATGGAAAATGCCTCCTGTATAGAAAAAAACGTAATTTACTGCGAAAATGCTCATAATTAGCTTTTGATAAGTGATTAAGCTGTAGAAAAAGGATATACCGCTTCGACTTCGCGCTCTGGGCAAGCAAAGCCCTCGATTTTCGAGAGCATTCTCCAGTTTATTTCCCGACGAAACTTCTCATCCTTCAAGAGAGAAAGTAGAAAAAGCAAAATTTTCTTGTGATTACCTAATTTCATTTATACTGAAAATGTTTTTCATAGCGATTGGGCCTCACTTCCTTCCTGATCTGATGAGCAGCCAGAAGAAAAACCGCTGTAGAATTCCAGCTGGCGAGAGTGGCGATGAAGAAAAGGGAAAGAGAGAGTGCGATCTCCAGGCCGCTTTGTTTGAAATCCATTTCGATGAGGACCATGAAAAGACTGGCGGTGGTCGA